CGAATTTTCTAATATTATATTTAATGTCGTTTTTCGCTTTCATGAAAGCTTTCTTTAGCTTCAATATTAAGGCAATTCTATGTGGGGAACATTGCAAATTAGAAGCATCTTTTAGCTATTGTTTTGAGTGCTTATGATTGGATAAGAGCTTTTAATACAAAAGAAACTTTGTTTCAAAATAGAGTTTATCCACATTTTATTTCAAAAATGTGTTACCCACAAATGGATACATAATCAGTGTGAAAACCAAGACATTCGTACATGGGGAAGTTGCTATGCCGCACAACAATAGAGAGTTCCCTAGTTCTTACGCGCATTGTTACTTAATTTCCTTGCAAAAATATTCAAAGTTAATGTTTCAAATGTCAATAACATTTATTTCCTTAATTATCTTAAGTTTATATTACAATTATTCTACCTGCGAATTTTAAAAACATTTTTATGCAAATGATTTTGTGGTCTTTACATCGTCTTTACAAGTGACTGTATTTGGTGAAGTTAAGACAGACATATTTAAGCTTTAAGTTGGTGTTTTATCTTACTTCATTCTTCTTATACTGTATACTGTATAATATATTATGTATTTATATATAATCATCTCTGAACTCAATTTATATCATAAAGAACTTTTATTTACTTCCCATATGTGCATAGAGAGACCACGAATGTGTTATGTACACTAATGAATAGCAGCCTTTCAAAAGAAAGGAATATAGTTGGTAATCTCTTCACATTAATGCTATTTTAAAAATGAAAATGTTGTGTCAAATACACTATTAAAGAACTATCCTTATGCACCCATATTATGAGTACAGATGAATTAAAAATTGATTTTTCAACCTGAGAAAAAAAAGGGAGTAGCCACATTAATGTCAAGTGGAGCATTTCTTTTATTTTCATTACTAACCCCTTTTTTCTTTTACAAAATTAATTGATTGTTTACTAAGAAGGCATAATATATTTTTGCAATAACTTTCACCAACCATTTAAGTATTTCTATTTCAATCACATGTACTAATCTGTTGGTTAATGAAGGTTCAAATCATGAACTATAATACCCATTTTATTTTTGTAACCAAATTGATTTAGTTCCTCATGATATCTATTCTAGAACACCTAAAAGAGAAAATTGAACATTACAACATTATCAATTCAAAAACCACCATTTTTTAAAAATATGTGAATGTCAATTGAATGTCAAATTCAACATTCCATTTATCAGAAGTTGTTTATGTATCTTGATATCTCACCTTCTAAGAATGCAATTTCATCTTTTTCATCAACTGTTGCATCTAAAATACATACAAAATGATTCATAAACAACAATTTTATTTTATTTGCAAAAGATTTTTAAACTTGAAATTTGAAATCCATTACCACCACAGAAAAGATCAGCCTAAAATTAGGGAATTGATAACCAACTTTAAGAAAAATGATAAAAATGCAAGAAAAAACACCAAAATATACAATTGAACCTCAGCATTCACCCATTGGACTTTGCAAAGATTGACTGCTTAATGGAAGTTTTACTTATTCAGGCCAAATTTTGTCTTGAAAACTCTATATTTTGTAGAAATTGAACAAAAAAGTGCATAATGAATCACAAAATCAACATTTTATTCTTGCAGCAGTAAAACTAGTTGGTGAAAGAGGGATTTTTCATAGAGTTATTGGTGTACACAAGCAGATTTACTGCGGGATCCCTGTGTTAAGCCCGAAAATTGGCTGGAGGGGGAAGGTGTTGGGAAGGAAATGCTTTGGTAATCTCTCAGCACTAGTTTTTCTCGATCAGGATAATTTAACATAGGAAGATCAAGGAGACAAAAAATCAATTTCCTAGTCAATTGAAACCCCAGCCTGTGACCCCTGGGGAATACCGGGGAACTTAACGTTTGAGTGGTGTTAAAATAAGACATTTCCCCTGGTAGTCGGGGTAAATTCATTGTTAAAATCTCCACTACTGTTGCCTCGCTATTTTGGTCTTGTAGTAAATAACAAAACAAACACCTTTCAATCAAATTTTCTGTGACGTCTAGTTTCCAGCCTCATACATGTTCAAACGAGCGTTAAAATCCCCTCTCTTTGCTCCGCTTCGAAAACAATTCATCAAAATCCCGATCCCCTGGGCAATTTTGCTGTGAAAGCACGTTAAAAACACGTTAAAAACACGTCACGTCCCCGTTCAGTGCCCTGCTAGCCCCGAGGGTTCAATTGACTAGTGCATAAACTTTGTTGGACTTAAGGAGCTATATATCTTGTCATATTTTCAAAGGATTTTTCTCAAACTTGGCACAATTACTAATTGTATATAAGCTTATGTTGCAGGAATGTTGGCTGTTGTTTTCGGTGGTAGTTATCGAATCTTATTCTATACAAACCTAGGTCCTTTTTTTGAATTGTTTTCCTTTTTCCTATAACTGTCTTCTTGTAGGCTTCTTTTGCAAAATATTCTACAAATAATTCCTAAAACAAGCAACAAATTTTAAGATATATAAATTTTAACAAATATCTAGTTTTATAATAGAGAAGTTGCTTTACTTATTTATTACATTTCGTTTGCATGCAGGAGCCTTGAACCGATCTCCAAGGAAAACKTCTGCTGTCAACATCGCTTCTAACTTACCGTAGCTCTTGTGAGTAAGAATACAGATTCTTTATTTGCTAAATGGAGGTCAGGATCAAGCTTCATCATATTGCGTACTCTTGTTTGTGGAAAATGCGTTAATTTTGCCACTCGGTCGTCATCTTGTGTCAAATTAGTCGAATCTTCGATCACCGGCTCTCCATCGTCCGCCATCTTGTAAATTATGGCGGGAAACTCATTCCCTCCAGGGTACCGCGGCTAAGTCATACACAGGAAAACCAATAAAGACCGATGAAATGCTATTTCTACCACATTTTCAATTCTCTTTCTCTGTTTTCAAATGTTCTTTTATTTTGTCCAATGTTATTATTGTTTGTAACTTTTTCGCTTTACTTTTCTTTCAGTCATGATGTGCTGACATTTCAAAGCGACGGCGAACTGGGCAAAATCCGGACGCCATTTGTAGGAAGGTAGAATACATACAATGATTGACACCTAATTGTGATATTTTGATTGCTGCGTTTCAATCATTCCCATGAGATTCAACAACAAAGAATGTCGGCCATGTTGGAGGTATGGACCATAGAGCTAACGGAAAATCCTTTGTTGAAGTTCCTCCGCAAGATGGCCGATGTGACGCAACCTGAAAACCTGAGAAGAGCCTACGCAGCACTGAGTTGATGTAATATATTCATAAGATATAATACAAAACACATAATACAATAGAACGAGAAAGGCAATGGAATACATTTTATGAACACATTACAACAACTGCTGCTTGCTACGTAGGTTCCCCCTGGACGAAACGAAGACTGGTACGAGCCTGAGTGAAATGGAGTGGTTTGATAATGATGCTTTTCGACTTCATAGAAAGTAAACATATCGATAATAGTGATATCATTGCAAATATCATTAAACTACACTTGAAACTACAACAAACTGGCCTGCGTAGCGTAGCGACTCTAGGGGAGGGGGGAAAACGGAAGGGGGAGGGGGAGGGGGTTAAAAAAGTCTATCGCACAAAATACAATCCTCGACACTGATAATAGTGATAATAATAAGCCGTGTAAGCCATGTAATTAGATCTAACGCTCTTCACGTCTTCATGAATAACAATTTTCTAAAATGCGACAATTAAAAATATCTTTATTTCTTTAAAAAAATCCGCACTATATACATTTTATAGAAATGACGTACAAAATTATTGTCTTTTCTCGTAGAATTGTGAATGGAAAGTAAGCATTTTAACGGTGTTTTCATCCCTAAAAACTATTAACACATTTGTATCCTTAATATTTACAATTTGTTACTTTATGTCTGGTAATATAAAGATATAATCATTTAGTATAAACATACTAATGGTCTATCACTCATACTGCGCTTTGATTGGCTACTCTACTAATGATAGACCACTCGCGGGAAAATCAAAATAAATAAATTATAAATTATTTTAAGGATATTTCAATTTGTTTTCATTATCTGACCGATTAGTATGTTTATACTAAAACAATTAGACCTCTCGGCCTCGTGGACTACGAGCTAATAGCCCATTCGGCCTCGCGGACTCGGCCTCATGGGCTATTAGCTCGTAGTCCACTCGAGAGAGGTCTAATTGTTAAATAGAGTAACTATGTTTGTATAATCTTATATTTTCTAAACAAGCATATTTTTTTGATTGACTTGCAGTCATATTTTGCGAATAGACAAATGATGCATGAATTTTGGATATGACTGCAAATGTGCAGCGACGCCACTTTGTACCTTAAAACATGATGGGAACGGCACAACTACTTCTATTTCTGTAGAAAAAAAAGCAAAACGCTTTTAACGGACATGAAAAAGTGCGAGGACTGCAACTCCTATCATGTTTTGTTGCACAAAATGGTGCACCTGCACTACTGAGAAATATATAATTATAATATAGAATCTGGAAATGAAATGGTTCTATAATGTAATAATAAATCAGTTTTATTCTCCCTCCCCATTGTAACTTTATTCTTATATATGTCAATTCATATTCCTCCACCTCTAACCTAAAAATTTATTGAAACCATTTTTCCTAATTCAAATCGATATTCAAACAAARCRAATCGATAATCAGGCTTCTTGATTTGACGATGGCGTAATGATGGTAGGAGTCGAATCATCTTCAATGTCACGGTATTCCATGGCACACCGTTGACAGTTTGAACCATGGACAAATCTCTGAATCTTCGTACATGGAGGATGCCCCCAATCCTAAAATACAAATTGYTTGATCAGACAATACCATTCAACACCATTGGATCCGATATTGCTTGATCGCTTGAGGGCGTTTGATAGAATATTGCATGTTGGGTGGTGTTTGGTGATCAAATGCATGTATGTAYTTCCCTTAGGACGGAGCTTAAAAACATAAATCTTTGATTTAGGGTCAAGATCCAACAGTCAAATAGAAGAGCAAACCTGTGAAACTAAGTGTGTCCAAGTGTGATAAGGTCACCGAAAAGGGAAAGAAGAACACTATACAAAATAGCGATTAATTCAGTAAAGGTATGATACGCTAAAGTGTATTTCACGGGTTTAGTGTGTGAATGAAATTTCCAAAAACACATGAAGAGCCGAAGAGTTGCCTGGATATCGGCTCGTAGTTGACTAAAGCGACGTCAAATGAAAATCACCGACACACCACGCTAATAGCTCAAATGATTCAAATAAAACATGCCAAAATCGAATTTGTACAAGAAAATTTCTCTCGTCGTTATGTGGGAGTAATATTAGCTTAAACAAAAAACGAAAGCAGTGCACAACTTAGCCAGAGCTAAAAACTTGTTTCTATTTATTATGACATGAAATCTTCTTAAAGTCACAAACTGTTTTCAGATTTATGGTCTCTCTACTAAAATATCAAACCTCCGACCGAAAAATAGTTACCTTTATTCTTTCGTAAGTGTCACTGATGATACCAATGAAAAGACTGAGTACAACATAGATGAACAGAGATATGAAGATGTACAGGTAGATCTTGCTGAATACCCARATATAGAAGCTGTTCTTCTGCATCTCGCTGTATGTCATAAACATGTCATCTCCATTGATCAGCGAGAATAAACACTCAGATACTGTAGATAACGTACGGAACTGAAAGCAAAACGTACTGTAAGCAGCGAAGGCTAAAGTCGATTCTTACTARTAGCGTTAGTTCAATTAATCGCCGGGCGGTTGGTTTACTGATTTTACTATGGTATCATTAATTGCAATACGTTGATAAATAGTTCAAACACTTACACCATACAAGCCTTGTAAAACTAATGATTAAATAGTGATTAAGTGTACAAAATTATGCRAATTCCTTTGTTACGTTTCTTGCTGTTGCCCAATCTACAATATAATATGTATATCTGCGGACATCTTGGAGGAACTTTAACAAAGTATTTCTCATTTAAGAAATAAAACATTTTTTCCGTGCCTTCATAGCGCTATGAATRCCGAGGCGTTTGTTTGGGAGAATTSGAGATCAGATCAGTGAAGCACGAGACGTTTCTTGCTGTTGCCCAACCTACACTACAATATATATAAGTCTATATCTGCGGACATTTTGGAGGAACTTCAACAAAGTATTTCTCATTASYATCTATTGTTCATTCCTCCAAMATGCCTGCCGGTCTTTTATCTGGTGAAYATCATGGGAATAGTTGAAAACGAAAAATTTAGCACCATCTATTATGCCTTTTCACACTTTTAGTCACTGTAATATCATGATCCACTCTAATATCTGATCACAACGATGACTTAATTTATCGTGATGCATGCTTAAGTGTTGCCATTTCCTCAAGTAGTACTGACTACTGGCTAAACATTACCTTAGGATGATACGGTCCYAGTACTATCCAACCACAGAACATGAACCCAAAGTAAAGTAATCCTCCACATACACAGAACCGAAGCACACTTGGTCCTGATGCTTGTAGAGTTACTAGAAGTAACTGAAATACAGAAGCAGGTTTTAAATTAGGAAGCAAGTTCTTTGAATTTTAGAGAAASTAGAGGTACAGTGAAAAGAATGCGGTGTTCCTAAAGAAGAATGCACAGAATGTACGATTTAAGGGAGAAATGAAATACAAAGAGAAGAAAAAACGGAAAGAAAAAAGGGAAAGAGGTTATACGACGAGAAATGACTGGATTAAAGGAACGTACGTTGTATTTCTTCATATAACCAAGGTAACGTAGGATTCCAATCCAGGTGAACAGTACTCCAGTGCCCAGGAAGATGCTACATATGTCATACATGGACAGTACCTGAGAGTGACGAAATAACCGGTTTTAGTAAAATAGTATGTTTAAAAACTATGGACGCTTTAATCTACAAAGTCTGACCACTTAATATGCAAAAGATCATTTATAAAAAGCCTGAAAAACTACACACTGAGTAAAAAAAAGTCAAAAACAAAAACAAAAATCAACAAAATATTTATTAGTCAAAAGGCAAAACGACTGGGTCAGTTCAAGTGTTTTTTTTCATTTGGTGAAACCCATTTAGAAAATTGTGCGGGATTACTTTTCAGGCCATAATACTAATTTATGCAATAAGACGCATCATTACCATAAACGTAAACGCATCAGTTGCTCAATGTCATTTATTTTTACTTACTGTAGTCAGTTCCCCAACTCGCCATTCAATCAATATCTTAAAAAAGGACCCAAGCACAGTCAGTGAGTCACTGATGACCATCAACACAAACCAAAGGTTGATTAAGTCCAAGCAATCCCAGTAAGACAAATCATCATTCAATTGCTGCTTGAAAAAACGCTTGGTTCTCTAGAAAAGTGACAATTTAACGAGATCATTCACAATACTAAAGCCCAAGGAGAAGGAAAGAGAGAGTTTAGGAGAAAAAAGTAAAGAAGATGAGAATGAACGAAAATTAGATAATTGAAAAAAAGGAAGGAAGAAATAGTTGATGTAAAGGAATGTAAAGAAAAGACAAAAACAAGAAAGGAAAGGTAATTACATAACAAGGCCTCCACTATATAATAGAAAACTATAATCTTTAACTGGCATCACTGATATAGAACAAATTATCTGCTCATAGGGCAGATTTGGATGTGTGTGAAAAATTGAAATGTTTTTGTGTAAGAATTCATTCATGTTTTTTTAACCAGGATGTCCGAAACCTGACATTATTCTATGTTTTTTTTTTCTAGATGCTCATTCACAGTTACACTAAAGCCATTCTAATTGTGCTTTATTGTCCACAGGTAATTATAATAACAAACATAAATTAAAGCTTCAACTTACCTTAACAAGCTTGATGTGTTTATACAAAGATCTCACACACAGTGAAAATGATACAAGACACACAACTATGACCAGTATGTCAAAAAAGATGTACCCCCCTTGTTGCACAGGATCGTCTGTTGAAC